GGGTGTTTCTGAAAATACCAGTAAGTGGGCCTTGCCGAGGGAAGTAACTAGGTTTGGTACCAAAGCGAGCTGCTTTGGTGACCTTGAGAGATTAGTGCACTTTGACCTCCTCTCTCCCTCAGGCCCTGGCCCCTCAGCTGGACACTCCACACCTCCCTGATAAAAGGGAGGTACTTGCCATGTTAAGCCTGGCCCTTCAGCCCCTCGCCCTGTCCTTTCCCTTCCCAAGGGGAGCAGTGAGCCCACCTTCTAACTTGGCTGATCTTGAGGCAGATGAATCTGGAAGCTGAGTCTCTGGGAGTCCTGTCCTGCTCCACAGAGAGTGGCTTCCTTCATCTAGCCCAGGGGACAGTTGACCCCTTAGGCTCCCTAAGTTGGCCACTCTTGCCTTCTGATTTATTCATGAACTTGGACATGAACACTTCCTGAAGGTTCCTGTGAACCTGGCACTGTGTTGGCTGCCATTGGGAAATAAAGGATGTGCAAGATTCAGTTCCTATTCTGAAGGACCCTTGGAACTTAAAAGGAAGATGAGAACTGCACATTAGGTGATAAATCAAGACAGCTTATAATGAAGGGCTGAATTAAATATCATCATTTTACACAGCAGTTAAGAACACAGGTTTAGCATTAGGCATCTGGCTTCAAATCTCTTCACCATTATGTTTTGGTGGACTTGATTTGGGGCAAGTGCCTTATTTTTCTCAGACCTTGGTATCCTTATGTGAGGATAATAATTAGACTGGCCTCTGGACATTTCTATGGGGATTCAGTGAGATAGTACATGCGAAATGCTTTGTTCAGTCTTTGACTCATGGTTGTACTGTTATTACTAGGTATTATTTGTCAAAACATATTTGAAAGATCTCAGTGGCTCAGAAATTCTGAATCTAAACACTCACCTTCTGCTTGGTATTCCTCCTGTCTCTGTTCCTTTCCTAGATGATTGGTTATTTTGACTGATCAACTTCCCAAGTTGGCTCCTGGGAAGCCACTTTTAAATACCTCTGTTCCTGCCATTCCCTCAACCATCACATGCATTCAGTTGCAGACCCTACTCATCAGACCTCACAGCTGTCTCCCACATCCATCACCACAGTCAGCTTTAACCGGGTCTTACAGAACCGTGTTGGATACTCAAGAGCCCTCTTAACTGATCTCCTTGCTTCTGCTTTCACCCTTTTCCAAACCAAGTTTACTGTTACTGGAAAGAGCTTTCTAAAATCCAAACCAGATGGTCCCTCCCTTGCTCAAGCCCTTTCTATGGCTCCTTATTACTCTCCATAAAAATCCAGGCCCAAATCCCTTACCGCAATCCACAAGGCCCCTCGTGATACAACCTCTGCCTACTTATACAACTCCATTGCTCATGTTCTCAAGTCTCCCCCATGCTCCAGCTACATAAGCCTGCTCCCCAAATGCTGCTCAGTCTCCTGGCTCTCCATAGAAATGCACATACTCAAGTCCACAACTTTCTGTCCATCTTTCTTGGAGAGTCACATTCATCTTTCTGTAAACAGGACTGGGCCAGCTTCTCCTTCTCTACGTTCTCACAACAACTTTGCTTATAACAGCGTGGTTTGACTTTTACTTTCACATCTGTCTTCTCCACTAGCATGGGATGTTCTGAAAGGAAGAGATTGCATCTTACTCATCCTTGCAGGTTCATATTCAAAAAGAACTGGAAAGATGGAAGGAAGGAAGGAAGGAAGGAAGGAAGGAAGGAAGGAAGGGAGGAAGGGAAGGAGGGAGGGAGAACTGATGGATAGATGGATGGTATTTGAATGAGTAGATGGAGGGATGGATGGGTGGTTGATGGTTGGCTAAATGGACGAATTAACAAAGTGGCAAAAATGTCTATACGTGCTTTCCATACCCAGGTATGTTCAGGAAGGCCTTCAGTGGTTCCACAAAGTCAAGGCTGTGAGGCTCATGGTTCAGGTTGAAAAGCAATATGACTTTGTAGCTCAGCAGCCAGTGGAGCTTTGATCTGGATGCTCCCCATTGTTCCAGTAGGAAAGCTGTGAAGTACTCTTGATCTTAGAGGGAGAGGGGACACCTGCGTGGGCTTTCTCTTGTCGTGGACCTGACCCATGTACTGTTTGCTGACCATAGTTCTGTCCTTGTAGGGGTTCTGTTCACTCCTGCTCAGCCTCTGGGAATCACAGATTCACTTCCAGTTGGGGCTGGAGACTCCTAACCTGGACCAGGGTAACAGCAGCAGATGGCACAGGTGCACTGTGGCCAGTAGCCACTGTCCGCAGCCCAGTGCTTACCTAATCCTTTCTCAGAGCAGCACATTTCATCCCACTCGTTTTTCTGCTCAGGACAATAATTCCTGAGCAGCACATGGAAAGTGCCCCTTGTGTACCTTGGAGCCTTTGTTGGCTCTTCAAGGAAGACTTTTCAGGCCAGCCTATTCTCTAGTGAACACCAGTAAGTTCTGGAATAACCTGAAAATACGGAATCAAGCTCCTGCTAGGAAGAGCCAGCGTGTGACTTGCCCAAGCTGAAGTGGAAAGGCCCCTGGCATGGGACCCGAGCCCAGCCTGGCTGCCCCAGGATCCCCATTCAGGGCTCAGGAAGCAGCAGGCAGAACTCCATTGGCTAAATTTGGCTGCATTTTTATTTTTGTCCAGCCACAAATACCGGCAAAGAAATGAAAATGATTCTTTCCCTTCCGGGAGCCTCAGAGCCAAGCTGGTTTTATTTTTAGTTCCAATTCTGGTTTAGGGCTTTGAGCACACTAAACACCCTACCCACTTCAGGCAGCGGCCACCAGAGTTTAGGATTTTTGCCTAGACTGGAGTCTTGGATGTCTAAATGGAACTCTTACCAGGCTTTGTACAGCTGTGACAATAGAGGGTGGTTCCAGACAGACCCATTTAGAGACCCATTTTTTGCCTTGGGGACCTCCAAGAAAGTCCTTTCCAGGGAGGGCATTGTACCCAGAGTAGATCATTGTCTGGATTGGGGTGGAGGAGGTGGCAACCCGGAAGAAAAGTGGAGAAAAATGAAGAAAGGGAAAGGAGCAGGAAGCTGTCATTTATTGAGGGATTCGAGTACCATGGTGGTTCAGAACCAGGACTCTGGTGTCAGGCTGACTATGCCCAAAGCTCTGCCCCTGTGGCCTCTGGGTGTCCTGGGCCCCTCCAGGTTCTGAATTCTTATATAGGAGGTAGAGATATTAACAAGGCCTGCCTAAGCATTGCTGCAGTTGGGACCAGCTGATGCAGCATGTAGCACAGCCTGTGACACACAGTCATCACTACTGTGATGAATATGACTAGGTCATCACTACTTTGATGATTTTTGCCATCTCATGGCAATGCATAGGGTCATTTAAGACAGAGAACTGAGACTTCAAAGGCTAAGTAACTTGACCCAGTTCTACAGTGAGAACATGATTAAACCAGGCCCTGGCTAATCCCAAAGTCATAACACCATACCTCTCCATGGCTCATGACCTCCACCTGTTCCAGAGAGGATTAGCATGGACTATCTGGGAACTGTTCTAAACCAAGAACTGGATCCAACCTCAACCTTTCACTTTTGTGGCAGGAACACACAAGGAAAGGCTACTGGGGGTGGTGGGAAGAGCAGAAAATAAATTAACAGACAGAAAACAGAGCACGGATTGCCACAGCCAGCAAGAGGGGGGAATGGGAGCAAAACCCCAAATTGGGAATCATGTATGAGGGAAGGAGGGAGTGTGGACTTTGGGGCCAGAAGACGTGGTGACACTTACCTTTCCTTCAGCCTCGGTTTGTTTAGCTCTAAGATGGGGATAGGACAGTTATCTCATGTAACTATGTGTGTTTCGTTCACTCTAGCTGGAAAAATTCTTCCAGCTTCTGAACCATCTTCGGCCTGGGAAGTTAATGGACACTATTAGATATACGCTTAAGTGATTTGTGGGTTCATCTGTAAAGACAGAACCACTTTCCCTGAATAAGAGATGAACAGATGCTAGGGCAGAAGAACATGAGCTAGCAAGGAACAGGGTCTCCCTCTTGGTCTAAGACCCCCAACACAACTTTCATGGAGATCACATGATGATTGTGTGCCCTGGAAGCTCTGGTGGCCTTCTTTTCTGTGACATTTAGCATTGGCCATTCCCAGCAGAGACCTGCCCTGGTTCTGTGGCCATCATCCAACACTGGCCATCCCTATCAGGCTGAGTTTTATATCAAGCTACCTCATGCCCAAATGTTGGTCCCTGATCCAGGGCTGATTTCTGTGTTAGGCATGGTGGGGGCAGTGCTGAGCACCCACAGTGCTGGAAAGGCCCATGAAAATGTTTTATTTTCTTTTAAAATTTGAATAGAAGTGAGTTTTTAGATTGAAATAGTTACATAACATAAAAATTTTGTTTTTTTACAGTTGTGTAAAATATAATATTTAAAAAGTTCTTATGAAGAAAGCAGGCTGCAAAGGCAGAAGGGCCAAGACCCAGGAGAGTCATCATGCTGCCTTGCTCTGGTCCAGAGAGCCAGCCTGGCAGGAATTCCACTTGGTCCCTCAACCCAGAGAGATCTGCCTTGACCTCTCCTATGTTCCTATAGCAACTGCCACCCATTTAGAATCTGGGATGCTTTCTCTGGTATTTAATTTGTTTCTGTAGTCCATTTCACATGTCAGTTCTATCACTTGGCAATAACTACCCGGAGCTCATGGGGAGAAAAAGCCCCAAAGTCCCTGGGAAAGAATGCTGTGATCAATTAATGATGTCTGTCCCAGACTCATGACAAATGAGGGAGTGCAGCACTCGTGCTGGGTTTATGCTTATGACTGACCTTGGCCTTGCATCTTCGTGGACTATAAAGCCCGGTCAACATGGTATATGCCTTACACATGTTGAACATCCCATATTGAAAAATCTAGAGAGTCCCTTAATACCTGTTGATGGATGGATGGATTGATTGAAGTAGTATCTGCAAATACTCTTGATCCGATTTAATATGCCCTTGACGTCTTTTCATTCTTCTTTTCCCCTGTAGGCGTCTCAACAAGAATAAGCTCCAGGTCCTTCCAGAATTGCTTTTCCAGAGCACACCGAAGCTCACCAGACTGTGAGTAGCCTTGACTTCTGTTCTCCATGTGCGCCTTCCCTGGTGTTAGCGATGTGCAGGTTGTGGTGCCTTCATGTGTGGCACCCTCTGCCATGTGGATCTGCTGATTCAGCCCCGGTGTGGAGACTAGAGCAGGGCTTGGAATGGGGAACCTCCACCCCCACATCTCCACGTCTTGTTTCTTGCTCTTGCTTTCAGAGCTCAGTGGCTTATGTGGCTGATGAGGTCTCGTGACGCGTGGTAGTTGACCCTCCCCCATTGCAAGGAGGGAGGAAACTTCCATTTTACATGGGTCTGAACTTAATTCAGGGGAATTCTGAGGGGGAGCTTGGGCGAGTTGATTCACATGAGGCTGCTGGTAGTCTCAGGCAAGACTGGGTCAGGCTAAATGTTTCCATCTCCCTGACATGCTGGCTGGAGGAGTTCCTGCCCATTGCTTGCTGTCTAGCATTTCTAGTTCAGGAACTATGGGTCTTGAGGTCGATGGTTTGATGAGAAAATAAAGAAGCACCCTGAATTTTGCTTTACATTTTAGAATGGTCCAGACTACAATGTGGGGGTGGGCAGGGAGATTTGGAGATGCCCTGTGTGTTTATTCATTGTGAGAGTTTAAAGCTTGGGAGCTGGAGATGCAGGGTGTGGTGGAGGCTGAGTTGTATGTCATGGGTATTCATTGACACTGAACAGCTCCATGACTGTGAACCTGAAATGCTGCTGGCAGTGACCAATATAGATCCTGGGGTGAACTGTGCTGCCCAGGGCCCAACTCTGGGAAAGAAGTAATGACTGTCTGGCTACTTAGCACTCATGACAAAATGAGGGAGTGCAGGCGCTGAGAGTTATAGCGTGGCTGGGGTAGAGGGATCTTGTGTTGTGGCCACCATTCTTCTTCCTGATGTCTGTGTTTAATGCCTACTTATGCAGTCAAACAATGCGTGTAAGGCTCTGGGGTAAGCTAGAAAATATGAAACACATGTTAGTGTGTACACTTAAGAGCGAGCTCTGAATTAGAAGTATGTATTTATATGTGTCTATACACAGACACATGCACATAGACTATGTGCATAAATGTATTTTCAAAGGAAATTGTTGGAACAAAAACAGGCCAGGGATGGTGGGTATTCTGGTGGAGCAGTGTCTTGCTTTCTCTAGGGTGTACTTGTACTTTGTCAAGATCTTCTTGCTGTGCACACTGTTTCTCTGGCAGGGCCCACCTTGCTGACTTTGCTAAAAATAGGAAAGGCCCTGACCCCTTTTCAGACCTCTGGTGCTTCCCCCTGGAGCAAGTACAATCCAGAAGCCTGAGTGTCTAGCAGGGCTGGGTAAGATGCCAAGGGATGTACCAGAAACCATTCTGAGTTTAACTTCCTCTTCCCTGTAAGGTCATCTGTTTGTATCCACAGGGGACTGATTCCAAGACTCCCATGGATACCAGAATTCCCAGATGTTTAAGTTTCTTATATGAAATGATGTCATATTTGCATATAACCTATGCACATTCTTCTTTCAATCAACTCTACCTGGCTTACACTACCTACTATAATGCAATTCTATGTAAGTACGTGGTGTACTGTGTTGCTTAAGGATAATGGTGAAAAAAACATCTGTCCATGTTCAGAACAGATAGATACTTTTTTTTTTAATATTTCTAATTTACAGTTGGCTGAATCTACAGAGGACCCATGATACAGCTCTCCCCTTAAATGCTCACAAAACAGCCATCTCTCCACCCAGCACTGCCTGGTGGGGCTCTCTCTCCCTCCCTCCCTCCCTCTCTCTCTCTCTCTCTTTCTCTGCAAATGCCATGATTTTATTCTCTGTTATTGATGAGTAAAATTCTGGTGGCCTTTTCAACCAGCACTTACCAAGTGCCACAGACTATCTCCTATTCACCTGGAATCTCAGCATTAGTTTCTAGAAAGAGGAAAAGGGCCTGGGGAGCCAGAGCTGCTGGATGGCTGGGGGGAGGTGGGGGCTGAGCACTTCAGCTGCTACCTGAGGGCAAGCCTCCCTGTGGCTGTCAGGTGAAACCCAGTTTTGGCAGGGCTGGTCTTGATTCAGACAAAGGACATGGTGATAACAGGTCTCTAGGGTGCTGAGGCCAAGCATAGGAACCCATGGGCTATACCTGAATCGCCACTTTCTAATTGTGAGAGTTTAGGAGAGTCACTTTCCCTTCTGTGCTTAAATCTCCTTGTTAGTAAAAGAGGGATGCCCCTTCTTTCTCCGTACCTTGCAGAGGAGCTGTAAGTATCCAGGGAGATGGTGGTGCCTGTGTGTTTTCTAAGGCTTAATGTGTTATGAAGTGGAGGGGCCAAGATAACTGCTGTTACTCCTCAGTTCCTGTCTTTGCAGCCTGTTTCTGGTCTCCTCTCTCTGGGAGGAAACTAGGAGTTGCAATGATCATTGAGATAAATTACTCTGAACTTTTGTTTCCAGCCAGAGAGCTGCAGCTGGGAAGAGAGGAAGGGCATTTAACACATTTTCATAACGGTCCCTCTCTGGGTCCCTGGACTGGCACAGAGACTGATGCACATAAGGCACTCAGTCAATGACAGCTGGATGGTAGGTGAATATATGAGTGACACAGGACCAAGGAAATGTGTCTCAGGGAGCTTTGATTCTTTTACCCACCATTCGTTCAGTCATTCACTCATTCATTTCTGTGTTCAGTAAGCTTTTCTCTGGGTGCTGTACAGCCCAGCTTCTGTGCTGGGTACAGAGCTGTGTATGTGAAGGCTGTCTAGCTCTCCATGTGCCCTGATATGACACATTCTGAATGGCTGCCAAAAAGCCAAGAGCTAAATATAATTTTTTTTTTTTATTGAAGCAACTATATTAACCCAGGTTTGAGCTATAATCAGCAATTGCTTTTTCTCTTTGGGCTTGATCTTTGATTTTTCTTAATGGCCCCATTATGTCTTTGTCTTATTTTGTCAGTCACTCCAGGGCCTTTTTGGAAGTAAGCAGGGTACAAATTAGAAATCAATAAATGTGCAATCATGAGTGTGTGTACATATGCCACTGGCTCTGTTTTAAAAGAGCACTGTGTCTCAGCAGACAAGGCAAGCATTTCCCAGGAAACCTCCACACTGCTTCTGTGCAGCTGGCTCTTCCCATAGAGTGCTGTGTGGCACAAGCAGCCATTACGAACACTACTTTTCTCTTATTCTTAGACTTGCAGACAAAAGCTGCTTAATGTTCAGTGTTTATCCAAAGAATGCCTTTTGGAAAGGTGATGGTGGTGTAAGAAGACACGTTTGGAGTAGTGATGGGAAAGAGAAGTGGTATTTATTGTGAACCTGTGTATGATAATAACACTACTAACCAGCAAGTGCCAGAAATATGATTAAAATAAGGTTACCTGGAGAGAAAGTCTATTACTGCATGTAACTGCGAGGTCCAGGGGTAATTATGGCCTCTGGAACAACTGAATCCAAGGGTTTAGAACAGAGGTTGCGAAACAGAGGTTCCTTGGAACAAAGGTTGTGATGCAAGACAAAGTGGACTCACCACATGCTAATTTTGCAAGCCCAAAGAAGAGTGCCTTTTTTATCATCAAGTGGAAAAGACCTGAGGGTAGGCTCTGATAACTAGCTTAGACACCTGCTCAAGCAAGTTGCTGTTTCCAATAGGATGGGGTTCTCTGACTGACCCAGCTCCTTCAATCTTGTTTGGGGACATTCAAGATCCAGAGTATAGCAGAAGAGTTGTCTAACTTATCCATGGTTGTATAGCCAGGAGACATGGAACTGGGCTTCAGTGCACATTTGTGTCTCTACAAAGCCCTTATGCTTCCTCCTATCCCATACTGCTGTGTGACTACAGCAGAGAGCTGAAGGCCTGCAGAGAAGGACTGACAGTGGCCTGTCAGATATGCCAGTACTTCTCCCAGGCCTTTTACTGGCTGCCCCACTGCACCCCCCTCAGATCCAGCACCATCTGATTCTTGTGTGCATTAGTGGCACATCTGTCCTCTTGTTCTGCGCTCAGGCACATAGATCATAGACCATTTGATCCTAGAAACTAGATCCAGAGTGCCTAGGAGGCACTCTGAGCTTTAGATATCACAATGGTCCACAAGACATCCAACCAGACCTCTGTCATGTCTTGAATACTCAATAAATATTAGCTCACTCCCATCCTTACATAAGGTTGCCAAAAAGTGTAGGGACTTTGCTTCTGATCTTTGAATGCTCCCCGGAATCTAACCCAGAGCTGAGGAAGGAAAGAGGCAGTGGAATAAAGGACTAAGGGGTTGCCAGTCATGTGCCATGAGCCCTAGGGCAAGCTACTTAACCTCTCTAGGTTTCAGGCTCATCATCAGTAAAATAACATAGGCTACGTTTATGGTGTTGTGAGAACAAATGGAAACCATCCAGACACCTTGCAGAATTGAGTACCTCACAGAATCAGTGCCGGGTGGAAGATGGCTGCCATTAAATTTACTGACTGATAGGAGCTGTGCATGTGCTGGGGCTGTGGGATCTGTGGTGCAAACATTTCAGCACCAGGAAAGAGTCCAGGCTCTGGAATTGATGAGAGTTGGATGAGCATTGTACTTAGAGTGGGAAGACCCTGTGCCTCACCCTGGCTCTGCTGCGCACAAGCTGTGTGACCCTCGGTGCATTACTTTGTTACTGAGCTTCAGTGGTCTCACCTAAAAAGCAGAGTGGGTCTGTTACATCATCTAGAGACATCTCTCCTTTCTGCATGCATTTCCAGATTTTTCGTTCACCTACGTGTGGGAGAGGCAGTGAAGGATTTCTGGTTATTAAATGCTGGCGGTAATGTTGCCAGAAATTCTTTAGAAGGAGCAGAAGGGAAGTTAAAAACAGCGATTAAAAACCCTCTGCTGTTCTCTGGATTAGACAGCTTTGGAGGGGCTGAGGGATACAACTGCATTTGAGTTTGACCTTGCCATAGGAGGATGTACAGACCACTGGGGTCCTGTTGGCCCACCTGTCCCAGATTCAGGTCCAAAACGTCTGTTCAGTATT